AGAGAGCCTAGTTCCCTGTTCCAAAGAAGAGATGGAAATAATTGAATATTCTGAATTAGAATTGCATATATTCAAAGTTCATAAAAAAGATCTCATAAATCTCATTATATGTTCATCCAGACAGTTTTAATCAGTTAAAGGCTATCTTTACTCACATATTTTAATACAGATGAACTCCGACAAGCAATGCTGGATGATGTACAGAAGAAATTGGCAAACTTAGTAAACAGTGCAGAAGGAAAAGTGGACAGGTACGCTTTTGCCTTTGAACTTCTGTGTATTTTATGGAGATTGCTTTTATGGTAAAAAAAAAAAACTTCTACTTGTAGATGTGTATATGTAACTAAATTTTTTAAGAGCCTTTTATTTTTCTTATATAGTGTTTAGATATAGGTAATTTTAATGAGGGGTCAGTATAATAAGGTATATTCTTTTGTTTTTTTTTAAAGTCAATTTTTTTCAACTGGTTTTCTTAAAACCACATGGAAGAGTTAAAACATCACCCCAATATGAAGACTTAGAAAATAAAAAGTTCATTTTTACTGGTCTTTTTTGTTCCCCACTGTTATTAAATAAATGTATGTTGTTTAAATGTATTAGCTCTGGGCTGGGCTGTGGCTCACTTGGGAGAGCATTTTGCCGACAACACCAAGTCAAAGGTTAAGATCACCTTACCGGTTGTCTTAAAAAAAAAAAGTATTAGTTCTGAAACCTAGGTATATATGCAATAATATCTACTGTTTTTAAAATTTAGATATTAGCAAATTACTAATAAATGTGAATGGGAAAATGTAAGCATGATGGTTAAGCACAAGAACCCCCCCCCCCATTTCCATCCCCCCCCCCCGTGAACATCAGCCCAATCAGGCAGTGACAATTACTAATGAGGCGCCACCTTAGTCAGTGTTTTGGTGAAGAAAGTGGGTGGCTAATAAATGATGTTTTAAAAGGTCTACATTTTGGCTTGTCTGAAATATTCTTCATTAGACTTGTCAAGATGTTTTTAAAAGTTACTTTAAAATATTTTGNATTTTAATGAGGGGTCAGTAGAATAAGTTATATTCTTTTGTTTTTTAAAGTCAATTTTTTTCAAGTGGTTTTCTTAAAACCACATGGAAGGGTCAAAACATCACCCCAATATGAAGACTTAGAAGATAAAAAGTTTATTTTTACTGTTCTTTTTTGTTCCCCGCTGTTCTTAAATAAATGTCTGTTGTTTAAATGTATTAGCTCTGGGCCAGCCTGTGGCTCACTTGGGAGCGTGTGGTGCTGATAACACCAAGGCCAAGGGTTCAGATCCCTATATAGGGATGGCCATTTAGCTCACTTGGAAGAGCGTGGTGCTGACAACACCAAGTCAAGGGTTAAGATCCCCTTACCGGTCATCTTTAAAAAAATGTGTTAGCTCTGAAACCTAGGTATACATGCAATAATATCTACTGTTTTTAAAATTTAGATATTAGCAAATTTCTAATAAATGTGAATGGGAAAATGTAAGCATGATGGTTAAGCACAAGAACAATTGTCACCATTTAAATGTCTGCTTCAGGTGAACATCAGCCCAATCAGGCAGTGACAATTACTAATGAGGTACCACCTTAGTCAGTGTTGGGGTGAAGAAAGTGGGTGGCTAATAAATGATGTTTTAAAATGCCTACATTTTGGGTTGTTTGAAATATTCTTCATTAGATTTTTCAAGTAACTTTTAAAAATTTTATTGTTTAGTCTTTTTATAATCAAACATTTAATTGTTTAAGAATAATTAAATATTTATATGTTTAGTGTTTGGGTACACTCAGATTAAATATTTATGTGTTTAGTGTTTGGGTACTCTCAATGTTAAGTTGCTTGAGCTGTTTCTGCCTTCATTTTCATAGAGTCCTAATGAGAAACCTCTTTGTTGGACATTTCCATACACCAAAAAATCAGCGTCATGAAGTTTTAAGATTGATGGGAAGCATCCTGGGTATTGAAAGGGAGGAAATGGAGCAGGTAACTAGACAGTGAAAGCCATTCAGAATACATTTGTAACTAAAATAGTGGTATCAAATTGTTTCCTTTTAATATGTATAACTTTTACTAATGTGGAAATGGAATCATTTCATAGAACATTGAACAAATGGATTTGTTTAATTTATGTATTAGTTTAAATGTTCTGTAACTTATAAACCACTTCTCATATCAGGATATCAGGATGCTAAAATTTTCAGATATGGCAATTCCTAAAACTTTTATTTGAGATCATTCCAGGGATACCATTTTATTGTATTTGTGGCCTCTATCAGTAGGAAACATTTTCTAGGAATTGGACTTGAAAACCATACTAGATAAAATTACATATAAGTGCTTCTTGTTTTTTCTTTTCTTGTATTGATAATATTTTTCTGTTTAAAATAATCTTGTAGTTGTTTCATGAAGATCAGGGTGGTGTGACCAAGTGGATGACTGGGTGGCTTGGAGGAGGATCAAAAAGTGTCCCCAACACACCTTTGAGACCAAATCAGCAATCTGTGGTTAATAGTTTAAGAACCAATTTTATTCTTGCTGAATATGAATAGTGAAATGATTGTATGTTGCACTCATTTGCAAGTAATCAGATTTCTTTTTCAGTTATTTTATACAAACCTTTTTATTTTGGAGTTGTGAAAACTGAGAAGAGAGAGGTGATTAGCTTAATAAAATTATTAAAACTTGTTGTCAGTTTTAATAATTTTATTGCATATAGGTTTTATTTTAACTTTTTATATGGTACTTTTATTTTTCAAAGTATTAACTGTTCTTTTCTTTATGCTTGATTATGCTGCCATTGGCAGTCTTGCTACTAAATCATAAGATTCTTGAAAATAGAGGCTTGATTTTGCTCATGTATTTATGTTGCAAAGTGAGCCAGTGAACACCTGCCGTGTACCAGACTATTCCAAGCATTGTGGATGCAGCTGCAATCCAGATAGACAAGGATAGACAAGGTGCCTGCCCTTAACAAACTTACATTCTGGTAGGAGGAAGCAATCAGTACACATGAAAACACTGTGTGTGGTATGTGGTAGGCTTTAGATGAATATGAATTGAATTGAGTTGTACTGTGAGTTAGAATGTGGAGTTTCTTTTATTTTTTTAATAAAGAGGACATTAAGGATAGGTGACTTACCCAGGATTGGTTAAAGATAAAACACCAAAGACATTAAGGATAGGTGACTTACCCAGAATTGGTTAAAGATAAAACACTGTTTTACTTAGATAGCGTAAAATTTAGTTTAAAGGAAAGGTCTACACTATATTATTTTAATCCAATAATGTTACTGGTGATCTTTTGCTATATTCATTGATGGGGTCTTACTTTAGAAAATCATGTTTAATGCTTGTTTTTCTTCAATATAATTTTTCACGTCTATATTAACAGTTATTAAAATGATCAGACTTGGTGTTTTAAGTGCCATTGATGGCAAAAAATGTGTTATCAGTTGGCTGATTCTGACTATAAAATGTTTGAAACCGGCCAACTGCCAAAAAAAGATGTTTGAAATGAGTGTTTTCATCAGAGAGTATTGATTAAATTGTTAAATTTTTGTAATGATAACTGTGTAACTAAAGTG